TTTGGGTTTCGGGTACCCTTGGGTTAAGGGGAGGGTGGGTTCGGGTACTGTGGGGTAGGGGGCCTGGCAGTCGAGCAACACTGCGCCCGTGCAGACTGCGGCGGCAGCCTTCGAGCCCGGCGCGTTCTGCGTCAGCCAGAGCGGGTCCAGCGCGCACGCCGCCGCCTGAGGCAGCGGCGGCCGGGCAGGGATTGGACCGGCAACAGCAGTCGCCTCTCCAGTGGGTGACTTCCTGCCCCACCAGGGCATCTCTCCCGCGGGCAACACCCTCCTCTCGGGACGTCCCGGCGTGACGCCCTCCCTCGCGCCTGTAGCAGCCACGCCGAGCGGAGACCGCGCCGCGCCTCGGCCGGCCACGCCTCCTCCCCCTCGCTGTCGTCCGAGTCGGCCGCGCCGTCCGACACCTCGACCCTGTGGGCGACGGGCGCTTTGCCGAACTCGTGCTGCTGTTTGAGCGCGTGCCAGGTGAGGTGGCGCAGCAGCCGGTGGTCCACGCGGAGCGGCGTCCACCCGCCGTCGTAGTAGGCGCGCCACAGCCCGCGGAACTCGCTAAACGGCGGGTGGTCGCCGGGCCGCAGGCCAAGCCCCGATGGGTCGACGTCGACGCCAAAGTGCAGCCGGAGGCGACGCTGCCAGTTGGACAGGCTGGCCGCCTAGGCACGCGTCGGTAGACGCTGAGGGTTGCGGCTTGTGGAAAGAGTGCTCAGTTTGTGCGGGATCGCCTCTCGCATCGACCGGGACGCCGCGGCGGCGTGAGCCCAGTCGCTCGGCTCGTCCACGAAGGAGAGCACGAGCTGCAGCATGTCGTCGTCGATAGAATCGAGGTGTAGCGAGCAGCCCTCCGAGCGCGCGGCGCACGCCGGTATTAACATGCTGCTTAAGCTCTACTCGCAGCTGCGTCACGGCCAGGTACAAGAAGCCGCCCTGATGGAACCCGTCCGCCGCCGAATCCGTCCACCCTTTCTTTTTTCTTGATTTCTCGGCGAGCATGGCAGTTCTTCACCTTTCTACCTACCTACCTACCTCGGCGAAACCCCTCTCCCTGTTACCTCTTACCCCAACAACCAACAACAACACCACCGTTCATCATGAGCGTACGAAGTGCGTGTCCCTCCGCGCATCCTCTCCCGCATAATAACTCGCCGGGCCGGCCATCAGCTTCGTGAAGAGCTGCGGGTCCGTCTCTGCCCACCTCGAGATGGTGGCGGCTGCCGGGCCGGTCACGCCGAGACGCGCCAGGGCGGCGGTGGCGCGGCGCCAGTCGCCATCGCCGCCGCCAGCCCCCATCTCTCCCCTCCCCGGGCAGGACTCATTCAAAGGGGCTGTCAGCCAGTCAGCCTTTTTGTGGTTGCCCCGCCACCTGCCCGTGTCGCCGAGGTGGTGGACGTAAGTGACCAGGCGGTGTCGGTTTTCCCGGCGGAACTGGCCGCCAAAGATCTTGTCGCTCGCTCCCGCGGTCCGGTAGTTGGACGGGTAGACGGGGCTCGTTCGATTGGCCATGTAGAGCTGGAAAAAGCCAAGATTGGTCACAAGCTACGAGGGACGGCGCCTGGTGGTGTGGTCTGGGATGTGTCATGGCGAGTCGGACAATCTCGCGACTAGAGGCCTCACCCCACTGCCGGTCTGCGTGTCGGCGTGGTACTTCCCTGCGATCGCGTCCGCCGGCGTGCGGTACACGCAACGGTTGACGATTCCCAGCAGCTCGCGGTCAGACGTGGGGAGGTGGTGGTAGATGGTTGACCACACCTTTGGAATGGGGCGTGAGCAAAAGGTGCTGACGCCCGGTGCCCTAAATGCGGGTGTGCAGTAAGCAGCACACCTTTGCCGGGACACAGATGTCTGCGTCCAGCAGCAGCACATGCCCTCCGATGACCTTTAGGTCGGCATGCAACCTGCGCTGTACCTTGCGTGGACAGAAACAGGGGATTATTGCGATTGTGGGCCTTGATGACAGTTCCGAGCGTCACGACCGCTCACCTCCTGGAGTGCCCGACCCTTGTTGAACGGGTCGCCATTCAGGTGCAGAGCCTCCGTGACATGGCACCGCGTCAGGCGAGACTGGGAGCAAACGCGCTGCGTTTCTCTGTCCATCGGGCTCGTGATGACTATCGTGTGGTTGACAAAGCCCCGGCTGCACTGTAGACTGACGGCGAGCGTGTCGCTCTGGTTCTCGCTGACGGTGACGCGCACCAAATGCACTGGAGTCGGCGTGGGGGAGAGAGCTGGGCGCGTGCGTCCCCGTACGCGGTGTGCCTCGAGAACAAGCAACGCGAGCACGGCCCTGCTCACAGAAAACTGCGGCCGCCAGCGACTGAGCGTCTCGCTGGCGGACGGGGAGAGGAACACAAAGGGACGTCCGGACGTCCATCCACTGGGATGAGAATACTGGAGATCTGAGGTCGAATCTGCCGATTCCACAGCCGCCCACAGGAGCGCCGCCTCAACACGGGGTCTCGGCTCTATCGAGCCATGCTAGCTCCAGCCGCAGCCCCACCCGGCCGCCCGAGGGTGTTCCCGCAGGCAGAGAAGACCAATAATCCTGGGGGAAGTAACCTTCTCTGGTAGGACGGGAACGAGATGATAGTAGGGAGTAGAAGAAAGCAAAGAGGAGCCCTGCGCACGCACGACTCCGCAGGAGAAACCCCTCCCGCCCGTGCTTGAGCAGCGCAGCCTCCTCCTCCCTACGCGCAAGCTGGGCATGAGGATGATGGCGATTATGTCATGGCGGCAGCATCTGTAGGAGTAATGCCTTTTACTCGGAGTTTTATCACCTCCATCTCCGACAACGAAAGGCTAGAAGGAGTTTGGCAGAAGGGCGATATGCGCGCCGCCGAGTCTCTGCGTCTCTTGTGGTCATGTGCCACTGTGCACCGCTCCACCGTCTACACAAGCGTGGTTGCTGGTTCTCTGGTGATCTGTGATCTGTGAGGGAGGGTCCGCCCGCACAGGCGCATTTATTTTGTATACCGAGGCGGTGCCCGGTGCCGAACCTGTCGGACCTTAAGACAGCGTTGTAGATCCCTGGGCGAGGGTGGTGGCGTCCCCGTCG